CCCTCCACATCCTCCTCCTCCAGCCTCCCCAGCCCATCCTCTTGTCTCATCCTTATCTAGGCACCAGACTTCCCCTTCTGGCTTGGTCCCCCCCCACAGCAAAGAGCAAGAAGAAGGGACTTGCGCTTGTAAACAGCCACGCGATTGCGGCACTAATCTCAAATTAGCCAGACAGGGGGATCAGATATTATCTTGTTTTGTTGCGTAAATCAGAGTCGTCATTGTTTCATTTATTGTATAAACGTGCGTTTGATGAATTAGCCAAGATTTCAAATTTGATTTGGGGCTGAGCTCACCCCAATGAGGCCAAGAGCTATGAAAAAGGGGTGGGGATAGTATTACTATTTTTATATCACAATCAATTGTTCGTATTTAATGTCTCCGGGTAGGCTCCTCTCTCGGTGGTTTCTCTTTATATTTTCCATAACGCAGCGTGTTAGTTAGCATCAGCCGCTAACAGATTGAAGGTGGGAAAAATCATGACGGAAACATGCAGAGAGGTGGCATATAAAAAATAAACAGATGAGGCCATTGATTGTCAGATAGAAATCGTTCTGTCACTGGCTCTTGTTTGAATACTTGGATATTATTAGCCATAGAATGGGTCGCTAACTGGTTGGCCGAGGGACTTTTTTTCATACCCTCCCGCCGAGCTTGAAAGTGATGATGGTGATGTCACTACAGGTGGGATACTCGTTTGCCCGGTGAAGTGGTCAGCACCATGAGGGTATGTGTTTGGCGATGTGTCCACTGCATGCGCCACATGTTTGGGTCTGCGCTCTACTTGACAAGTGTATCAAGTGATGTCTGCGTTGTCATTTTCAACAGAAGCCGTATGTGGGATCGAGCCCGCTGCTTTTTTTGTTCGACAGGAAGTGTGCAGCAATTTTTTTATCTTTGGGGTGTTTTGACAAAAATGCTCCACAGATGTTAACTTAAACACCCGGGAACGCTTTTAACTTGTGGACAAAAATCAGATATTTTGCACCCGACGCTCAGGAAATATCTCTCGGCCACAGGCTCAATTCATTTATTAGGACGGCAACAGTGAGCAAGTTTTTGCTGCGCCGAATCTCCCGGGCCAAATCGATACATTTGCTTCCTGGGCAAGATGATGTCAGCACTGACCTTTTTCGCCACGGAGCCTTTTTATAAGGTACCAATGTCTCCCGCGACAGTGTGTGACTCCGTTGCAAAAGAGCACGTGTATTCATCGAAGCCCCCGCAGAGCCTGTGGAATCAGCCAATTATTTCACCGCCATCCCCAAAGCTTTGAGTTTGGGCCAAAGGCGCGGGCAGAATAACTGATGAACCCATCAGACAAAGGTGGAATGACAGCGAAGCAGATTGAAATTGATTGCAGGAAGTCGCACAAAGAGGATCCGCCAGAATATTGTGTTCAAAAGGAAGTCGAGAGTGCGCCTGTGTTCCCATGGCGACCAGCAGCCGCATACCCACATCACAATGTGCTTTCGCCTTTGCAAACAGTGGGCAGGAGAAAGTTGCATTTTTGGAATACCGGCCAAGTTGGCTTTTGATTGGCCCGGGCGGTCTGGCGTTGGGGGGGCTCTGGGGGTCGGAGTTGACACTCTGGCCTGCGTGGGGGATCTTGCCTGCTTACGTTGTGATGAAAGGGAGACAGCAAGTGGGAGGAGGTGAGTGCCAGTGATTGATGAAGACCAGTAACGAAATTTTTTTTCTCCGATACCGCATCCTCCACTTGCATCCAATAAATAATACTTTGTGGTATTCAAATACGTGAGCTTTGAAGATTTTTCTTTCAAGATCACGATAGCGTCCAAATGGTCCATTTTCCGCGCGCGCGAAAATGCATCACAACCCGGGCAACAAACGTGTACATGTACGGTACTTACACTCTACTCATTTGATATCTACTCTTTTGTTTTGTTGGAGTTGTATGTGTGTGTGTATTTATATGCGTGTGATGTTGTGAAAGATCACCAACTCGTAGCCCGGCATGCATATTCCAACGTTTCATTTGTTTTTGTAGGTTGATAGGAACGCGGATTGTTTTTACTTGTGTGTTGTTGTGCCAAAGTAGCCTTTTCGTCAATCTGCTGTAGCCAGCTTTGGGCTCGACTGGGTCCACTCTAAGCCCCCGTGGCCCCCTCGGCATTAAGCAGGGTCTGGTGCCACTCAATGGACTGAGCCTGGCTTCTGCTCCAGCCAGTAATCCAAGCTTGGATGAGATGATTAGGTGTTCTTCTCCCCCAACCCCCTTCACTCCCCACCTACATTCCGGGTTCACTCATCCGCAATGTAAGCCGGGTCACCTTTTGCTTTGGAAAATCACATTAGTGGCGTGTGTAAAAGATGAGGAAAAGAACCGTGTTTGAGAGGTCAGTGGCCTTCAGACTAATACAAAATAATCATCGGTCCAACCTGCTCGTGGGATTTTAGCTCTTGTGTGAAACCTTCTGTCACTGACTCAGCAATTGTCCGACTGTTTTTTTTTTTTGTTTTTTTTTTCCTTTTATCTGTCCGACATTCCGCCGAGCGCTCGAGTACAGAGGCGAGAGGCGAACGGACGGCTGAAATGAGCTGGAGGTTGAAAAAAAAAAGCCAAACACTGGCCGCAGAGATTAAAGAGGAGAGATTAGAACTCTCTTGAAGAACACCAAGTACATCAGGAATTCTTTCTGCCTTGCACGCTGCAAAAACCAAAATCTCCCCCGAATTAAACATCTAAAATCATCGCAAAATATTAGCCTGATTGCATATTTGTGAACGTTTTCCAAACATGAGAAAGTCCAATGATTCGATTCAAGCCTTTACAGATTATCATCAGTCTGCACGGACATAGAGAAAAAAAAACATTTTTTTAGCAAGCACAGAGCAATTTAAAAAAAAATGATGTTGTGTTATGTAACTTCTTTTACGCACAGGCAATTATGCTACAAAGCCGACAATGTGTCAAACGGCCGTAGTGTGGCATCACCTCCTAGCAAGGAGGATTTAGTCATTGGGGAAAAAAATGTTGCCTTTTGTATTGTTGGCCGGTATCGGCGTCCTTTTTGAGTACCCGATAGATTGAAATAAGGCTGGCATTGTCCCGATCACGATACCCGCTATCCGTATTTGCCCGCGGTTAATTCTACACTATTGATGTGAAAACTGGTTATGAATAAGTTTGTCTTGAAAACAAAATAATTCTGTTGAAGTAGTATAAGATTACTATTGGATATTTTTTCTTAAATAATATCGTACTGGATGTCCCTAATGTTATTTAGCAGTGCATCTGTTGGTTATGACCGAATTTGTGCTGGACACTTGATGACCTGACATTACTTTTATGATGCAGCTTATCATGGCACACACACACACACACACACACATACACGCACGCAGAGCGAGGGGCTTTACGGACACACATTTGTTCGCTGAAGCCCTTTGGCGAAAAGCTAAGCCGCCCCTTTTGAAGTGCGCTACCCCGATCAGTTAATGAAGCTGATGATGCGGAGCGGTTCAATGGCGAGGTGTTACGGAGGAGAACAAAAGGCAGCCGGCTAATTAAACCTATTTGCCATTAATAAAAGAGCAAAGACGGGGGTCAAGCTAGACACCCCCCCCCCCCGGTGTGGAGTCAATGTATGAAACAGTGGCTATTGATAACAGTAGCACTCACAGAACTCCCACAGGGAGAAACTTCAAAAGCCCCCCGCCCCCCAACTTAAGCCCTTTGACCCCTTCCTGCAGCCCGATGCCCCCCGCACCACCCTCTTTCGACAGCCTAAAGCAGCTAACTCGCGGTGGGGCCAACATTCGCAACTGCTCGCGAAGGTAGAAAAATGCGCATTGTAAGTCAATGAGTTGGCCGGGGTTGGTTCAGCGTCGCAAAACTCTCGTTTGTTGTTTGCCAGAGAGTTTTCGGTCATTTTTCTTGTTGTGACGGGAACGGGCGTGCGTCTGGTGACCTTTTGGCAAACATTTGCGACCTTGAACGAACCCTGACGAGAACATTCGCTGCCTTCAAAAACATTGAAAATTGTTCACCGCCCAGAGCATAAAACACCGATAAATTAAATACGTTTTTTTTTTTTTGTTTTTTGGTCTTTTAATTGCACCCTTCTTTGGACCAACACATTGGGACCATGCTGCAGCCGGTTGGAAACCAGGCATGGCAAAGGAAGAAGGGGGGGTTTGTTTGTTTGTGTTTGGCATTTGCGGGGCTGCGGGGCGGGGCGGGGGTTTTGATAACCTTGTCAGGCGGAGAGCAGACAAGAGTGTTTGCTCAATGGCGTTATCGATTCAACTGGGATTGAAAGCATCGGCGGTCAAAACACTCCCATCGGGTAAACAGAGCGCGGCGGATAAGTGGCGAGGAGGCCGAGGCCCAAGTGAAAAAGATCATTACAGCATCCCGTCTTAAGTTTGCTGCACCTATCATCAACTCGCCCGAGTCTCCAGCCAGCTAATCTGGTCATCGGGCGTGAAGGGAGCACAGTCAAGCGGCTGGAAGGAATTGTAAGTCCTGCCCCCTCCATCCCATCCCCCGAGCGCCGGTTGGAGCCACACCGTCTGTGCTTGTTCGCCAAGGGGGCACCCCCGGGAGACCCCTGGCAACTAAACAAAAAAAAAAAATACAAGCTCACGAGACATCGGAGCCGTGTGCGTTTTGATGGCCCGTCCAGGCATCTGGAGCGTGTTGCGTAAGGCTGGCACCTTGGACATTGTACGAGGGTCAAGAGGGACAGAATAAACATCAGGCAAGAAAAAGCATGTTTCTGAAAGGGTGGCTGCTTGTCATGAAAGAACGGCAAAGACAAATTTGTTTTGACAATCTTTCGAATGACCCCGCCACATTCAAACTCGTGTTAACTGGTGGTCAGCACACACCTTTAAAAGTACCTCTTCATAAACTTTAACTGTTCCTGACATTTCATTTTTGCTGAATTTGCTTTACTACCTTGCTTGCCGAGTTACATTGACTTCATGGCAGTTACTACATTCAAGAACTTCTTTACTTTGGCTATTTTGTAACTGCGGTGACGTAACTGCAGCTCAATCATTGGAATGCCTTGAAACGTAATCCGCACCAGCTACTTGGCTACAGTTACTTTTGTTTTCAGATTATTAGGGACGAAGTTACCAGTAAGAATTTCACATCTGTCACGAAGTTACTAAAACGCTAAAGTAAGCAAAAAATAAATACATTGTCATGAAAAGCCGAGTGTAACTTCATAACTGGACAGGCTTTCAATAAAACGTCACCTGCACTGGGCACTAAGTTACTAGTTACTTAAGTACTGTTATTTAGGTATTGTAGCTGTAACTAAGTAACAAAGATAGTAAAGCAATGAAGATTTCAGGGACCCCTTTAGGAATGATGAAAAAAATATGACATCGACAGAGGTCAAGATTGGAAGGGTAAAGATCAAAGTTAGGGAGAAACAGAAAACTTCCATATGGTCCTCCTAGCAATAGAAGCTTGGACTTTTGCGAGAGTTTATTTGAGGCTTCTTTTCAGACTTGACGGCGGTCTGGATCAGATGTTCTCTCGGGCTCTCGCTTCCACAACCCCCCCCCCCCCTCCC